TACACAAGGATGTGTAAATATTCTTCAGATTCGAAGTTTTATGGAATGACATGGCATATAAGTAGGGAAATAGGGTAGGACAGCGTTTTTGCAATACCTAGACGGAGTTCATGTCAATATTTCCTATTATGTATGATGTTTTATGCATAATTTGTTTGCTAAATAAATCCATCATAAATTAAATGTCGCATCAATCCATCATAAATTAAATGGCATATATTCTCAAAGAGTTGTAAAAGTTCAGTGTTAAATAAAGTAATGCCAGTTTGAAATGCGTATCTTTTAGCTTAGGTTAGAATAAATGAGTTAAAACTTTTAATGCAACTATTCATTCAATCATTATAAGGAATTCATGTCAATATTTCCTGTTATGTATGATGCTTATGCATGATTTTATTTGCGAAGTATGATATCCATCATAAATTAAGTGTCAAATATTCTCAAATAATTGCAAGAGTTAAATAAAATCTGTCAATTTGAAATGCATTTCTTTTAGCTTAAGTTAGAATGAATGTGTTGAGACCTCCAGACCTTTTTCTGAGGCCTTGAGATTCATAAAAAGTAACGATAATACTGCTTGAAAAATTATTCCAAGTCGTGGAAAGCGTTCATTTCTATGGGTGAATATTATTTCTATATGCATTCTAGACTTCATTTTAAGTTGTCCTTCACCGATCTGACTACAATTAGAATTTTAAATAATACGATCGAGTGTTGTTATCCTTCGGTATAGTTTAAAGTAATTCTACTTCCATGCACCTTGTTAAGAAAGCGAAGGCTGTGACAAAGTACGAAGATGATACAGGTTACTCCCATTTATCCAGGTGCGGATTATCCGGGCATGGTGTTGCCTATGCACACATTCAACAATATGAGAGCAAGAGTGTAGAAACAAACACGCGCAAATCAGAGTGTACTGTAAAAACCGCTGAGTTGCATCTTTAAGTTTATTTTCTACGACTTTAGATTAGTCTTTAGGTTTCTTTTCATAACTCTTGCTGAGGAAGATGATATTATGAAGTTCTGCAAAATGTCGACTGTTTTGAATGTTATATATGGAGAAGCAAAAGCTTGGTTGAAAGTATAAGCTAATAACACTGGTTCGATGATGGAGAAAGATTCTTCCTAACATAGAAATCGGAAGTTTATCTTAGTGAGAAGCAGTCGAGGCAATAAATGAAGTAGTGTACCTAAAGAAAATGTAAAATTCTAAAATGTCGTTCGCTGAAACATCAAGGAATGGTTCAATGGCTATTCGACTGAGCCGGACTTTCAATTCTTGAGTAATACTGATATGGTTTCAAATGTCATAAGAACAGAAGAGGCAAAGAATGACAAGCGAAGAAGATAATAACATCAGTCCCGAGACAGCAATGACTTCTGTTGGGACTCTGTTAGACTTCGTTGAGCAAAGGGGATTCGAATACAATAATAAAAACGCACTGCGAAAAACAGACAGTGAAATTCGACAATTGTTTAAACTATAAGGTATTTCTCCCGCCTTCCTAGCATGTCTTCGTGGTGTAGTGGTTCTGCACGCTGGGCGCGTATTCTAGAGGTCCGTGGTTCGAATCCCGGAGAAGGCGGTTGCTAATTTTTTATCTTGCCTACTTCCAAAAATACCTAATGTCTCTACAGTGGCGCCCAAAGTAAAAGGGTGTTGAATGATGATTCTCCTTACCCAGGATTTGGAGATTAGGTCCCCTAAAAACCTCAGTCGCCCTTTAAAAGGGGGAGTATATAAGGTATTTCTCCCACTTTCCAAGCGTCCTTCGTGATGTAGTGGTTCTACACGCTGGGCCGATATTCCAAAGGTCCGTGGTTCGATTCCCGGCGAAGGCGGTTGCTAATTTTTCATCTTGCGTGCTTCCAAAAAATACCTAATGGCTCTACAAAATATTTTCAAAAAAAAGTAACTGATTTTTTTAAGAATAAACTCACACAATATGCATGAAGATTGACAGTTTGGATTCTCAGTGTTCTTCAATTATCCGTGATTTGCTTCCCCGCGTTAGCCCGGATAATCGAGCGTACACTGTAGTTGTTATGATGCTCGGTGGTTGATGCTGGCTTAATGTTAAAATCCGTGTGATGCTTTACATGACGATAATAAAATTTCGCCACGTAAAACATCACACGGCAAAACATCGTGTTTATTGGCTTAAGGTAGAACGTGTATAAGAAAATCCAAGATATTTTTGTAACGTATTAACATAGTCTGTGTAAATAATAAATCAATCCTTCTGCTGGTGCTGGAAAAAAAAAAAAAAAAAAAAAAAAAAGGGTTCCGAGTATATTTGCATACATGTCTACGTGCAAAATTTGCACAGGTTTATGTACTTCTATAAACTGGGTAGAAAGGCACATGCTTTAATTTAAGCAGAATTTATGCCAATAAAAATTATCACTCCTGAATTGTAAGATTTGATTCAAAGTCAGTAACTCTTGGAATAAAGAAACCTGTGTAAGTCTATTTACTGTTTACTGTTAAGGCAAAGAAATTAGAAATGTAACATAAATATGTTTTATAAAGCTGGATAAAATTTACATATAAGCAGAGATATATAACTAGGTAGTAAAAAGTGTAAAAATTATATTTGCTAGATGCAATTTGGTGAATAAAAGTAAGCTGTATAAAAGATAATTCGTGATTTTTGCATAGGTATAATTTCTTGAATCTTTTGAATAAAAATAAGATTTGTAAAAAGGAATCTGTTTTCTTTTGCATAGTATAACAAAATGTTAGTACAATCTGTATATATATTTGAGGAGAAGGTTCGGAATATCTCCGGTTTAGTAGTGGTAGTAGCATGAAATATAAGAAATGTAATAGTCCAAACTAAATTGTATAGAATGAATGTGTATTAAAGTTACAAAAAATATAAATATTATCCATGAATTGATATGCAGCTTAAGCATTCCTAACAAGAATATATATCTATAATTAAGATAAGATTAATATATATATTTAGATTTGAAAAATTAAAAAAATATTAAAAAATGTAATTGATGAAAACTTCGATTTGTAAAAGCGAGTGGGAAAATTCAAATTTATTTTTGGAATGAAAAATCAGCAGAAAAGAATAGTCAAAATTAAAAATTTGCGTTTGTATAAACAAGAAAGTAAAAAGAAAAAAAATTTAAATTGTGAAAATTATTATTACTTTTGTAAAATGAAATGCGAAAAGTAAAGAAAAACTAAATTTTAAAAATATTACTTTTTTAAAATAAAAAATGAAAAGAATAAGTTTACTTTTCGAGAAACAAAAATAAAAAAAACTAGTTCATGAAATTAATAAATAAAATTAACTTTTGCTAAAACAAAATATGTGGATTGGAAAAATAATAAATTCGTTTCAGTATAACGTGAGAAAAGGAAAATGGAGGAAAATTACGTTTGCAAAATAAAAGGACAGAAAAGAGAAATTTAAAAACCTAGAAATATATAATATTACAACTAAAACAGTGAAAATTTACGGCTGGAGCCATTTTCTAAATTAAATTTTTAGAAAAGATTTACGGCTAGAGCGGGAGCGCCAGAGCTATGAAAACAGCGAATAATGAAAACTCCGCAGGAATCAGATCTGTGGCTAGAGAAGGAGCGCCGAAATGCTGACACCTAGGAATCCGAGGAGAAAACTTAGCACCTATAATACACGTACTTTAAACAGATCCTCACACTGCCAGATGGGAGAGAAACTCCATCCATTCCCCAACAGAAGTGGTCAGTTTCGTTCAGACGCTTCAGTTTATTTAATGTTTTGTTTTTTAAATACTAGATGGAACAAAAGCAAACCAAAAGCACACATTTTTATGTGTCTATGTGTGTGTTTTATATAGACACATAAAAAAAAGGGTCAGAGACGTTTCCGGTAAATAATAAAGCAAAGTATATTAGTGTTTACATAAAAAGAATGAAACTTTTGGCACGCTTCCTAATAAGAGCTCTCCGTGAACTCTTAAAGAACTACCGCTCCGTTTTCGCAGTATCGGAGATCACTCGCTCAGTAAAGTGAATTGATTCTTTGAATCAGTTCCGGAGCGGATCGTCAATCTCTACAAAGAATATAGCTCTCGTAGAAATAATGTAAACCAGCTTCGCTAGCCTCAGGTGACATTCGAATCAAAGCCAGTATGAGGGGAACGAACACGCGGGGTGTTGGCGAAATTCATTCTGCTTGGAATGCTAACGAAGTGCGAAGCATAAATCTGCTACTTGAGAATTTATTAACGAATGATTTTATAAACGAATTACATAAAAAATTCTCCGCCGAATAAAAAGATATTTCACAATTATCAATATAGACTAGTAAAAAATTTTATTAGCTTAATATTTTAATGGAAGATGATAATTGTAATTACATAAGATACAAGGAAAAGTAGTTTAAGTTTTTAAAAGGCATAAATATAAATATTTATACACAAATAATTCAAAGAACTGTTTCAGATTAGGAAAAGAACGCTCATGTCGCTATACACTAACTTATGTATTTTCATCCAGATAATTCGATTTCTTTTTGTAAGAACTTTGGTTAGTTGATAAAGGGCAGTTACATTCCATTGCTGCATATAGTGACATGAACTTGTGCAGTGTGGAAATAATTCAAGAAACTACAACTATATTAAAAATTATACTCCTACAAAGCATATTCGCAAGCGATATTTAAAATAATTAATACTTTGGAAGAAAATTCGTAAATTCAGAGTGCATTAACTCTTGGAAATGTACGGAACAAATTATTACCGTGAACAAACTAAAGTTTACGACATCCGAATTTAATTTATATGGATTTTGAATCTAATCAGCATTCACTCATCGAAATTATAAGACCTTGGTTTAGAATTTTGTCCTTTGTTTATATGCTCTTTTTAATGGAATGACAAAAATGTGCTCAGGAACATCTAATGAGTATGATTAAAACTAATGATTTACTGCTGCATCTTTCTTGAATTTCATTCCTATTTCTGATCATTAATGAAATTCTTCATTTTGTTTTCAGAAAAATCAAGTCACGATGCAGATCATAAATGCAATATTGTAATTGCACTCATGCAACTGAGGCGACGCTGCGTCCGCCATCCAAACAGGAAGATGCTTCAGATTTCTTTTGTCGTTTTTAAAGTATGTTGTTTTTTGTGACCTAAAGTGTATATACCTAATTATTCCTCTAAGTAACGCTGCTCGCCGTCTATATACCACAATAAATCACTCCAGACTATTTTAAATTAGGCAGAATATCCCCTTTTGTTTGTTGCAGAAGCTTTGAAAGAAAAGAAACCTTTGTGATTTGTTACAAAAATGAGCAAAGAATGTTCCATAGAATAAAAGATGTATTCAGGGAGCTGTATACCTTAGAAACCGAGATTTTTTTTCTTACGCTTGATAAAAGTTTTATTTATGTTTCCAAAACTGTTTGAATTTTGCTCCTACGTTCATTTAAACCGGAGTTATGATACTTTACATGACACCTTGTCCTCGAAAAGCATACCGGAAGTGCAGAAGACGTAAATATTTAAAAGGCCGGAGTGGGTGTGTCAGAGTCGTTTTTTTTTTTATTATTTTCGGAGCTTAAAACTTTATTTAATTTCATTTTAAAGACCAAAAAGTATTTTTAAGATGGCAACAAAACAAAGATATAGCATATTTTCAAGCTGTGTGTTATGAATTAAGTAACGCATTTTCGCTTGTGTTTTGATTCTGTGTTTACATTGCTGATAAGCGTTTTTTTATTTATTACTGAGTAATATTCATTAATTTTTATAGGTATAGATAGATATTGATATAGATTAGGTATAGATATGGTAAATTAGGTATAGGTATTGGTTATTACACTGCAAACGAGTAGAAAAAGTTTGATGTTAACCGTATCGACAATGCAAAACGATATTCCCTGATTTGGCTTTAAAAAGCAAAGAAAAATTTTAAAAAGCTCCCAGAAAGCAAAAAAATGTAAATTCTGAAAACCAAGAGGGCATCAGTTATAAATCGGGAATTTTAAGTTTTCAAACTGATTAAAAGTAAGTAATCGAGTGTTTGAATTCTTTAAATGCGTTTATCTAGTTTTTCATTTTTCGTGTTTTAATGCTAACAAGAAACACAATATCTTCAAAAATTGTGATTGAAATCTTATGCAATTTGGTATGCATGTTTAGAATACTTCATGTAAAGAGATAGACTATTTATTAATTTATAAATGCATTTTTATAAAGTTATTACGTGTTAAACATGAATTTTAATGAGAAAATATGCTTTTTCTTCGTTATATTACATATTCTAGCTTAAAATTTTTTTAAATAACTTCCTAGCTTAAAAATAATAGTCTACCTCCTTGAGAATATCATTATGATGGGTTTGCATTTTACAAAATATGAAAATATATTATACTTTTCTTAACACAGTGTTTCTCATTTATTGTAAATATTGCTGTTTTTTTACTTTACTCCAAAAATACAAAATTAATGGTCATTAAATAACTCAGCTTCTTCATTTTTTCCATCATTAATCACTTTAAAGCCAAAATTAAATGCACAAACGTAAAAATTTTTTAAAAAGTGTTCGAAGGCATACAGCCCCCTAAATGAAAGGTATTTTAATTCGGTAAAAATTTTTAGTTTTAAGGAAATTACAAAGTAGTCTTCACATGCGACTCTTTTAGTGCAAACGGTTAGCACAATCAGCCCGTCATTTCCGAATACCACAGTGAACTATTCACGACTTCTAACTCTTAAGCTTCTCCCGGCTGCCGAAGTCAAAATAATTGGTAATCATTCATCACGAACTTAGATTGGTCTACAGATGCAATGAATGTTTCAAAATTTTGATCCTCTAAAGTTTTTTTTTAAATTTTTTTTCTTTTTTTTTTTTTTAAAGTACGAGTTATATAATAACATGTGTCATTGTTACTTATGCTCTTCCTATACAATTTAGGAGGTTCATGCTCCCCCGTCATTGTTGCTTATGCTCTTCCAATGCACTAACACATTCGTGCAGGATCCACTTCAGTGGTCATGAATTTCGAATACTAGGAATGGAACAACTATTTCATACAGAGTCCATTTCATTTTCAATGGAGATGGTGGTGTGGTGTGGTGGTGGTGTATCTAATTATGGCAAAGCACACTAGGGCTATCTGCCTAACGGGAGGGATGCCTTCGTGGAGGACTTTCTAAGGGAAACTGGCTCGTATACACGTTACACATGGGGAAAACCACGAAAACACCCATGCAGCCAGCCCGTTCGCCTTTTCAATGGAGAAAAAGCTGAAGCATAGATTAAGAGAGTATAGTAACTATCTTCTCTTACCGCAACTTCTCGACAGGACTTTTCGCACCGATGGATTTTAAGAGCCTCTAATTTGCCTAACACATCATTGAGACAAATCCATGCCCTATCTAGATACAATTAGCTGTGTAGTCTGTACGATAGATAGCCTTCACCATCACTACAGAGCGTCAGTGGCTAATGAAACTTTAAAGATCATTAGATTTCAGTGAAAAGGTTTTGGGGAAACGCCTACTTTCATAGACAAACATGATCGATTGCTTTAAAAAATCACTCTTTGTCACAAAACTACAACATATAAGCCTGAAAACAAATACTTCAACTGCAGATTTCAAATGGGTAATCAGAATTTTTATAAATAAGAAATTCATTCTGACATTCTGGTTAAAATTCATAACAATCAACATGAACTTATAATGCGCACTGAAGTAGTAAAACTGAAAGCCGTGCTTTCTATCGTGAAATTAATCTTGGCCACAAGGATTTTAAGCCCAATACCACTGCCTGTAGAGACAAAAACATCATCCTAAATGATAGAAAAGAGGTACTTCAGAGGTGGAATGAGAACTTTAGTTGTAGAGACATAGAATTTTTTAGGCAGTAACCTGAAAAACTCAACCCGAAGATTGGAAACTGAGCATCATCTGTCCTATACACAAAAAAGGAGACATTTTGGAATGTACCAACTACAGGGGAATCAGTTTTCTTTGTGTTTTTTTACAAACTATTTATTTACCAATACTTTTTATTAGAGTAGTAACTTATACAGAAAATATTGTAGGGAATTACGAATGTGGTTTCCGCAAAGGAAGATCTACAGGAGAACAAATCTTTAACATTAGGCAAATTTTGGAAAAAACTAATGAATACGGCATTGCAACACACCACCTTTTTGTTGATTTTAAGACTGCCTACGATTGAAAAAACAGAAAATATTTAATTGAAGCCATGAGAGAATTTGCGATACCTGAAAAACTTACAAATTTGGTCACCGTTACTCTTACTGAGACAAAACTTAGGGTTAAAATCCAGAATAATATTTCTGAGCCTATTGTTGTTTCAAATGGGCTCAGACAGGGTGATGAACTGGCCTGCTTGCTTTTCAACCTTGCCCTCCAAAAAATCATAAAAGACTCGTAACATTAATACTCGTGGAACTATCTTTAACAAGTCTTTTCAGATTTTTGCGTTTGCTGATGATATCGACATAGTCGCACGCACTCCTGAGTCACTTAGAGAGGCTTTTACATCTTTAGAGGCTGCAGCCAGCAAAATGCATCTAGCAATCAACCGAAATAAAACTAAATACATGCCAAGTGGTAATTACAGCAGCCCATATTTTGAAATTGGAACTTACAGATTTGAAACTGTTAGCAAATTTAAAGATTTAGGATCAGAAGTTAATAATCTCAATGATTTAATGCCTGAGATCCGTAGTAGAGTCACAGATGTTAACCGATGCTTTTCGGTCTCAAAAAATACTTGAAGTCTAACTTCACTAGCAGAAAAACGAAGATTTTAATTTACAAAAGCTTAATCAGACTCATTCTTACATACTCTGCTGAGACCTGGGCAATGACAGATAAAGCTAAAAGTATCATTTCTGTCTTTGAAAGAAAAATTTTGAAAAGTATTTTTGGTGGCATAAAATGAAACAATATTTGGAGAAGAAGAACTAACTCTGAACTCTATAAATCTTTTAAAGAAATAGATGCAGTAAAATATATAAGGATTCCGAGAATTAAATGGGCAGGAACCTATGCAGGATGGATGAAAATCGAGTAACTAAAAAGATCTCCTCGGCCAGACCATTCGGCACCCGGAAAAGAGGCAGACCTAAAGTTAGGTGGCTCGACGATTTGGAAACAGACTTAAGAATTTAAAAAATAACCAGTTGGATGTCCTTGGCCAGGGATAGAAGAGTTTGGAATTCGATTCTGAGGAAGGCAAGGGCCCATCCTGGGCTGTCTGGCCATTGAAGATGAACTAGAAAAACTTTCTAAATTGTGTAGATGCAGGATTTTCTGGTGTATATATATCTTGAGGAACACCTCTTTTGATAATCCGGCAAATATTGTAGTCATTAGGGTATTCATCGAGGTAAGAAAGCAGAAGATCAGCGATGCCCTCGCCGGGATTTGAAATCTGGACCTCCCGAGTGCTAGCTGGACGTGCTTCCAATAACGCTTCGAAGGCATGCGGTAAGGAGGATGAATATACCTTACGTTCTCCCCCATTTAAAGAGTGACTTAGTAGGAGGGGCCCAGTTGCCAAATGCTGGAAGTAATAAATTATCGTTCACCCCATTTGAGTTCGGGCGCCATTGGTAGAGTTATTTAGAAATTTTTTGAAGTCGAGAAACATGCAAACCAGCGATGTCCTCGGCAAGGTTCAAACTCAGGACCTCCCGATTGCTAGCCGGACGTTCTTCCAATTATGTCATAAAGTAAGGATAAGGAGAGTAAGACGCTGTAAGGAGGGAGAAATTATCTTATAATGTCAGCAAGCATATAGGAACTAAATGACATGATCTAATTTCTCAACGTCGCAAAATTTCAAGCTAACCATGGTTACTGCTCATTGCTCTTAGATATACAGGTGAGAAATCAGCAAGTGAGGTTTTGAAAACATATTACATCCCATCGTTGATGTGACTTTAAAACATCATCACTGTTCTTTTGTATATCCCTGCCCTACACCACTCTAAGCTATTATTGGAAACGTTTTCAAAAAAAATGTCATGCAGTCGTTTCAACTGAATTTAGCACAGCATCGAATTTTTGTATCTATAAATAATCGTTTAATTTGTGAATAATATAAAAGTCTTCTTTTATTATACC